ATCATCCCACATAATCTAGAGGTCTCTCTGAGGCAGAATGGGAAGAGAAAACCACACAGCTGATCTGACGTGTGACAGGAACAGCAGTGCTGTTGGCCCCAATACCCTTGTACTCTGGTATATGACTGAGTGACCAAGACAAAAACTGCAGAGAAAGGATCTCCACCACAACACACAACACTCAGCAGATGCAACTGTTTTTATTAGAATTGAAACAAACATTAAGATGCAAGCATGGGATCAGGTTCAAACACACATGAACAAATATAATGCTTGACACAATACATAAAGGTGATTAATAATATAAATTTGATAAACATTTAAGTGCTAATAATAAGTTAGAGTTCTAAGATAAAAGTTACCTTCTTACTAAAAAAAATGTTTTGCTTTATCAAAACCATTTACATTCTCCTACCCTTGAGAATATAAAGAATGGGAATAGTGACGAGATGGTCCTAATAAAATAGAAACATGCACCATGGTAAGGAGAGAGAAGAAAGGCTTATTTAAGGCCCTTAAAAGGGCATGGTCAACCCCCCAGGCCTAAAATGTCCTGTTTGAATTAACATAGTGGTTTAATTAAAAACTAAGTAGAGAATTCTGCTTAATTTGATTTTCAATTCAAGCTCTGCATCCGCCCGTGGCTAGTGGCCAATTTCCGCGTCTCGGCACAATATGCAAGGGGCTGTTTTAAAATCGATTGCCCAGGGGAATCAATGGGAGTATGGTGGAGCCATATGCCACTTAGGGACTCCACCAGACTTAGACATAGTAAAACAGCACCAGGAGGGTGGCCAAAGGAATAAAAAAGAAATTTAACTTAACCATATTTCAAGTTTGTCATTACTCAAATCATTGTGCGGAATCTACCAATTAGAAGTGTTTTCTAAGCCCTCTTCAATATCCCTTCAGACTAGATGTGTCTAATGCCAATGAGCAAAAAGCTTTAAAGGATACACAAAGGAATATCCTTGCTAGCCAGCTGTGTTAAAAGTCAATGTCTGTGATACATTCGCTTCAGTGAGGCAGCAGTACAAGTCTGGGATACAGTCTACAACACTGTGTAAAGAACTACAGATCTTAACAAACACGATGTAAAACCTGCACAAGTCAACTCCTAGGATCGTATATTAGAGAAAGGCCTAACAATGAAAGGCTCAAACATATAGTTTACACATTTAAGACTTAACCATGCAATGCTAATAACCCTTGCAACTTTCACGTAATTGATTTTAAAACTGAAAAATATGAATATTTAAAATAATATGTCACAATTACCTTAATTTTAAAGCTTTCCAAACAATTCTAGTATGTGATCTAGAATGCACCTTATCTTCAAGCAGGTTTGATTTTGCTTCTAGAATGCACCTTATCTTCAAGCAGGTTTGATTTTGCTTCAGTCCATGTCATTTCAAAATGGGAAAAATAATTTGTAACCTTAAAATTGCCCAAGATAATATGTGAATAATTAAGAACTGACTGTACTGTACTCCACTGCTTTCTGATGGCCCCATAGAACACTTACTGGTGAAATGCATTAAGCTCTAGAATGACAGCACTAATAGCTACCATACCCTGGACTGTGTGTTCTACATGAAAAATCTCCTCTCATTTAATCCTTAAATAATACAGTAAGGTAACAATCATTACTATACTCATTTTACAGAAAGAGAACGTGAGGTCCAGATGAAAAAACTAGCCCAGGCTGTGAGACTCAAAGGGCAGATTTTCTCACCTTAGCACCCTCACCCTCCAACTCTCTGCCACAGGCCCCTCAGTGCAAAAAGAGCAGAATCATTCTGCCTCTTCTGCCTCCAGGCTACAGCCCCATTTTCCCTTCCCTCCTCTAACAGTTTTAAAGACCAAGTTCTTTCATTTGGTTCCTACAACGCCCAATCATTGTCCAGAGATGCAAGTTGGACAAATGGTAACCAACCATCCTGAGCTCTGTCTCCTTGCCCTCCTTTAGAGCCTTCACTGAGCTGGGGAATCACCTGGACTGGTCATGTCGAATGTACCCCACGTCATCCAACACATCAGTCCCCTCTGAGATCACGAAATGGGGCTGATGATGTTGAGGGATTCTGAGGAGACTAACAAAGATGTGCTTAGAAAAGAATATTCTTTTAAGTGCGTATAGAGAGACTAGACATAAAAAACTTAGAGGAAAGAATGCTCTACAGTGGTAGGTATGAAATATCTTCAAGTACCTTCTTGTGTCCTTCCTCAAGCTGCTTCTCCCCTTGGACCTTAGTCTACAAGGGGGAACAAGAGAACAGTGACATGTCACTGGGGTTTTTGTCAGTTTTTTTTTTTTATTCTAGAGATGGTAATTCTACTCCAATAAATGTAGCCAAGTCCCTCTTCTAGTTGGTTAGTTCACAACAAGGGAGGAAAACAATTTGAAGACAAGAGGTCTGTCCACATTACACACTGTTTTTTAAAATAACCTATTTAACTAAAAACTAGAATTTTATAAAGAGTATAAATTAGGTAGAGAAACGTATACTACCAAATATGAAATTACACTTAACACTGAGCTTTACCAATTGTTTTTGTACTTGGCAAGATTACACACAAGGCAGAGATAGGACAAAAGAACAATCTGCATATTTAATGCAAACATCAACACAACAACGTTGGGGACCTATGCTGCAACGCTGTTTAGCAGGACGACGTGTGTGACTGATTCAGTATGGTGGTGTCTCCACATGTACTCCTTCCCTTAGTGACATATGTTTAAACTCTGACATGTGCATTTATCTCCAAACTTAAATAAAACAGTAGATGCAAAAATCTTTTTCAGAATTCTGTTGCCAACTCCATTATCTATAGCACAAAATCCAAACTAACTGGCAGAGGATTCAAGGCCTCCAGGATGTGACCCCAACAAGATTCCATGCACCCTGATCTCTCACCAATGCTCCGTTCCATAGCTAAGTGTCAGCCATTCCCTCAATCCAGTCAGAACCCGTGCCTTCCCCCAATTCCCTAGGCAAATCAAGATTTTCACTCCGCAGTGCCCCCCACCGCAGCGGTATGAAAGTCCATCGCACTGCGTCCTGGCAGACTGCACCTCTTCTTTCTCCTTCCGTCTACCCCTGGGAGGCAGAAGCCCTGACTTTTCATTTCTGTCCCCAGCAAGGTCCTACAGTAGCATAATAATTACTTTCTAGTAGGTGCTTAGTAAAACTCTGTTGAATGAATGAATATCCATCAAAAGCTTTGGCTCTAAAATGATACAGAAATCGCTTTCTCAAGTGTCTCCTATGCTCTCACTTCCTCTTGATGTTCTTTCCAGCCCTCTTTAACACAATATTTTACATTCCATTCTTCTAGAAACTCTGTCTTCTGGCTCCCAGAAAACCACACTTCTTTTGCTCCCCTGCTTTCTGACGGGACCTGCTCAGCAGTCTCCTTCGCTTCCTTCCCCTGCCAGCAGGCCATGTAGTCCTCTTGTCTGCTCCAGCCTCATTTGTCCTTGGCCACCTCATCCACTTGGGCGGCCTCAGTAAACTCCATAGTGTTGACATGTGAAGATCACAACCACTTTGGGATGGTTAAAAGTGACCTTAGGTTTTAGTACCAGTTCTGGAATTGTACATATATGGCCCTTAGACAATTTAATAATATTTAATATATTTGGACCTCAGTTTTCTCCTTATAAAAGGAAGGTTTGTACTAAATCCCATTCAGCAAAACTCCTATAATTTCTTCAAGAAGTCATAAACACTCAAGGAGCTTTTTAAACTGAAACTACACAATTCTTTCACATTATACAGATGACTTAAATAATTCAAATACATCATGATAAAAAACAATTCCAATATATCAAAGCCAGTTTTCTCAATGTCAGGGTTGACTACCAAATACAACCATCCATTCTGATCTCAGTACATTTACTATATATGAAATCAACGCTGAGTTTTCAGCTTCAAACTATTCAAGTATGGAATAATATCTAGAAAGCAAAAAGGTGCATCCACTAAAACAATACTTTATCACCTCTGTGAATCTTTCCCAGCATCCTTCAACACACAGACCTAAAAAGTGCTGCACTTAAGGTTTAAAATCAGAAGACTTGTCAAAATGTGAAACTAAACAATTTCATTCCTAAGTACCTACAAAAAATTATATGAAATAAAAAGTCATAAAAATTCACAGTTTATGGCTTCCCTTGTCAAATTTATGGAACTGGCATTATAGTATTATTCAACAATAAGATACATAGGCATACTTTCACTTCATGTATCACAATACGAATAGAACTAACAACTAAAAAGGTGTAATGTGTCTATAAATAAACTGTAACCTAGAACTCATTTTTGCCAAAAAGTATTAACTACTTAAATCTTTGTATTATATTCCAAATGTTTATAGCAAAGACCTCCACAAGCTATAAAGAGAAATATTGTTCATTTCACTTTAAAATGTTATATTCAAAGACAGATGAAGTTATTACCACTGACACAGTCTGGACTGATTGTTTAAGATGCCCTTGCAAGTCTCCTGTTTTGCTCACTTCTAACCTCCCACATTCACTAAGATCAGTAACTCACAGTATCTTGAGAATTTGACTATCTACAGGGCATGTTTGATTTTATAAAATGCTACTCTTCTGAAAATACTAGATATAAAATAACTTTTACATCAAGATATGTTTTAATATTTTGAGAATTTCATGTCATGCTTTAAACTAAATGCAAGAGAGCCTAGGAAAGGAAGAATGGCTATTTTATCAGCTTTATTCTCTACAAACTTTCCACCAAGTAAACATTCAAAGGCCAAAAGATGACTTCCTCCCTGTGGGCACACAAAATCCTTCAATATGCACTATTATTAATATTATTGTCAACATGATTAATATTAATAAGATGTTATTATTACTAATTAAACTTTTGTATTTCAAATGGTGGTTCAAGCCTGCTTTTACTAGTTCAACATGAATGACGTATACTTCTTAATTTGACAAGTTTAATTCCAAAATATGATTCCCTTACCTTTTTCAGGCCAGCAAAACCTTCTGATTCCAGAAAGAAAAAGGCAAAGGGCATCAACACAAATAAACAAAGGTTGGAAAAGAGAGAAGCAAGATTCCACAAGCCTATAAGGAGATAGCAAAAAAAAGAATAAAGATTAGAGACAGGCCTTGTAAAAAGAAAATTACTATGCTAAATTATGATATTAGTCGAAGATCTATACTTTTTAATAATAAAAATAAACATAAACTTGAGGACAGTGGACTAATGAATCACCTAAACTTAGAAATGAGAAAATAATTACACATCCAAATTTCTGTAACTTTGTAACTTGTACCTATTAGGAAAAGCCAATATAGAAACTAGAAATATTTTTCCTCATGTCCTAAAACAAATTCACTAAAGATATGACAAATGCAGAGATCCAAAGACACAGTCTCTTTAGACATATTGGCAACTGAATATTTAAATTAGATCCACTAGCATTTACTGAGCACTTAATAAATGCCAGATACTCTACTAGACATTGTACATGCATAATATCATTTAACTTAAGCCTAGTAAAAACACTAAAGGTAATAATTAGCATTTATTGAGCCCTTCTGTGCCAAGCACTATTCTGAGTGATTTACCAATATTATACAAACTCACATACTCTTCATAGGAATCCCCCAACAAGACAGAGGAACAGACTGGTTATATAACTTAGCCAAGGTCGCAGAGCCAGTGGCAGAGCTAACTCCTGGGATTTTTAAAAACCACTATATCATAGAAGTTTAAGTAAGCAATTCTAAGTGGGAAGGAAAATGTAAGAGAGGCAGGCAAGTTCATATTACCTTTTCCCTTTTTGACACATTCTGTACTCTTGTAAAACCAGAATAAAAAGCTACTAAGATGACAATAAAAATAGATTTAGAAAAAGAAGACTAAGTCTGTCTTTGGGATTATGTTTGGCCAAATATCTTATACCTTTTATAGGTATAACACTCAAATTTAAAACAATTTTCAAAATAATGCCTACAATACTTTTTTTTTAGATTTTTATTTGAGAGAGAATGAGAGAGAGAGAGAGAGAGAGAGAACATGAGAGGGGGGAGGATCAGAGGGAGAAGTAGACTTCCCACTGAGCAAGGAGCCCAATGTGAGACTCAATCCCAGGACTCCAGGACCATGACCTGAGCTGAAGGCAGTTGCTTAACCAACTGAGCCACCCAGGCGCGCCAAAATAATGCCTATGATACTTATAAAATCAAAAGTTAAAGATAAAATTATGCTAAGCATAAATTCAATCTATCACATGCACTTATCATTCAGTGCTTTGGAAAATGGGAAGCCAACGTTCTTTCAACACCCTTATTTAGAAGGCACCATTCCAAGCACGGGAGACACAGGAACAAACAAAACACAAAACCTTTGTTTTCACCAAAATATGGTATGAGGAATCTTTTCAGTTTTAGCCATTCTAACAAGTATAAAGTGGTATCTCCTTACTGTTTTAATTTACATTTCCCTAATCAATAAATAACATGAACATCTTCATTAACTTATCTGCCACCCATTTATATCTTCTTTGGTGAAGAGTCTCTTCAAGTCTGTTGCCCATTGTTGCATTAGATTGTTTACTTATTGTTGAGTCTGTCAAGTTCTTTATATATGCTGAATACAAGTCCTTTATCAGGTATATAATTTGCAGATATTTTCTCCCCATCTGTAGACTGTCTTTTCATCTTTTTAAAAAGTATCTTTCAAAGAACAAAATTTCTTCATTTTGACAAAGTCCAGTTTACCAATTTTTTCTTTTACAGACCATCTTACCCAAGAAATTATGGTCTAGCCCAGTAACACTAAGACTTTCTCCTATGGTTCCTTCTACAAGGGTTACAGTTTTAAGATTTACATTTAGATCTATGATCCCTCTGAGTCACTTTTGTATATGGTGCCAGGTATAGACTGAAGTTCATTTTTTTCCCTATGATTATCCAATTGCTCCAACACCATTTGTAGAAAAGAATACCCTTTTTCCACCAAATTGCCTTTGCACCTTCATTGAAAGTAAATTGACAATATATGTGTAGATATATTCCTGGATCCTCTATTCCATTGAGTAGATCTATTTATCTTTATGCCAATACCACACCATCAATGATTACTAAGGCCTTAATATAGTCTTCGAGTTGGGCAGTAAGTCCTCCAATTTTGTTCTCTCTCAAAGTTGTTTTGACTATTCTAAGTCCTTTGAAGTCCTATCTGAACTTCAGTTCAGCTTTTAAATTTCTACAAAAAAAAAAAAAAAAGCCTGCTGGGATTTTGAATGAGATTGCATTTAATTGGGAGACCCATCTGGGGAAAACTGACATCTTAACATTGTCTTCTTATCCATGAACATGGTATATCTCTCCATTTATTGTGGCATTCTTTAATTTTTGTCAGCAGTGTTTTATAGTTTATGGTATATAGGTCCCACACATCCCTAAGTATACCAGGTTTCTGATGCTACTGTATACAAGTGGGCTTTTTTTTAATCAATGTCCAATTATTCATTGAGAGAATATAGAAATGCAATTGAGTTCTGTGTATTTATCGTGTATCCTGCAACCCTGCAAATTCATTTATTGGTTCTAATAGCTTTTTAATAATAGATTCCATTACAATTTCTATATAGACAACCATATCATCTGTTAATAGAAACAGTTTCACTTTTTCCTTTCCAACCTCAATGTCCTTTATTTTCTAAAAATCACCAGAACAATGTTGAATAGAAGTGGTGAGAGGGGACATCCTTGCCTTGTTTCTATTCGCAGGGAAAAGAGCATTCAGTCTTTCATTAAGCATGATGTTATCTGTAGGGTTTTTACAGATGCTCTTTATTAGGATGAAGAAATTCCCTTTCATGCCTAGTTTGCTGATTTTATCAAGAATGGATGTTGAGGGCGCCTGGGTGGCTCAGTCGTTAAGCGTCTGCCTTCAGCTCAGGTCATGATCCTGGGATCCTGGGATCGAGTTCTGCATGGGCCTCCCTGCTCTGCAGGAGGCCTGCTTCTCCCTCTCCCACTCCCCCTGCTTGTGTTCCTGCTCTCGCTATGTCTCTCTGTGTCAAATAAATAAATAAAATCTTTAAAAAAAAAAAAAAAAAGAATGAATGTTGAATTTTTTTTCTGCTTTTTCTGCATGTATTGTGGTGACTTTTCTTTTTTAGGGTTTGAATATAGTAATTACATTCATTGATTTTTTCAAAAGTCATACTGTATTATCCTTTTTATATATTGCTGTATTTGATTTGCTAAATTTTGTTTAGAATTTATGCATATATGTTCATGAGGGATGTTAGTCTGTAATTTTCTTTTCATGTAATGTCTGTCTGGTTCTGGAATCAGGGTAATGCTAGGCACCATGAATTAGGAAGTGTTCCTTCGTTTCTAATTTTCTAAAAGAGTCTGTGTAGAACTGGTATTGCTTCTTCCTTAAATATTTGATAGAATTGACAGTGAAGTCTTCTTGGCCTACAGTTTTATTTGTGAGAACATTTGTAACATTTTTACAATGTCTGAGAGACTTTAGTAGTTTTTGCCTTCCAAATTTTTCCATTTCTCTAAGGTGTTGTATTGGCATAAAGGTTTTCACAATGTGCACTAATTATCCTTTTAATACCTGTAGAATCCACATGTATCATATGATCTCACTGATATGAGGAATTCTTAATCTCAGGAAACAAACTGAGGGTTGCTGGAGTAGTGGGGGGTGTGGGAGGGATGGGGTGGCTGGGTGATAGACAGTGGGGAGGGTATGTGCTATGGTGAGCGCTGTGAATTGTATAAGACTGTTGAATCACAGACCTGTACCCCTGAAACAAATAATACATTTTATGTTTTAAAAAAAAGAAGAAAAAGATAGTAGGAAGGGAGAAATGAAGGGGGGGAAATAGATGGGGGAGACGAACGATGAGAGACTATGGACTCTGAGAAACAAACTGAGGGTTCTAGAGGGGAGAGGGGTGGGGGGATGGGTTAGCCTGGTGATGGGTATTAAAGAGAGCACATACTGAATGGAGCACTGGGTGTTAAACGCAAACAATGAATCATGGAACACTACATCAAAAACTAATGATGTAATGTATGGTGATTAACATAACATAATAATAAAAAAAAAATACCTGTAGAATCCATAGTGATGTCATCTATTTCATTCCTGATATTGGTAATTGGTGTCTTCTCTTTTTTTTGCTAATCAACCTCGCTGCAGCTTTATCAATTTTATCGATCTCACTTTCTCTTTATTTTCTCTGTTTTCTATTTCACTGATTTCTCCTCTTATCCTTTTTTTATTTCCAATTTTTTTTTTTGAAGACTTATTTATTTATTTGAGAGAGCGAGAATGAGAAAGAGAGAGAGTACATGAGAGGGGGGAGGGTTAGAGGGAGAAGCAGACTCCTTGCTGAGCAGGGAGCCTGATGCGGGACTTGATCCCGGGACTCCAGGATCATGACCTGAGCCGAAGGCAGCTGCTTAACCAACTGAGCCACCCAGGCGCCCTCCAATTTTCTTAATTCGGTATTCATTTGTTCCCCTCTTCCTGTTTTCTTAAGGTGGAAATTGTGGGCACCGATTTGAGACCTTTTTTCTTTTCTAAAATAGACATTTTAGTGCTATAAATTTTCAAATGTTTTATTTTTGTTTTCATTTAGTTCAAAGAACTTCCAAACTTCCCTTCTAATTTCTTCTTTGACCTATTATTTAGTTACCAAATAATTGAGTGATTTTCTAAATATGTTTCTTTTACTGGTTTCCCATTTAATTTCATTAGAGAACCTATCTTGTATGACTTAAATTCTTCTAAAAGTATTGAGATTCATTTTATGGCACAGAATATGGTCTCTCTTGGTAAACGTGCCTACTGTACTAAAAGAATGTATATTCTACTACTGTTGGGCAGAGTGGTCTATAAATGCAAATTAGGCCAAATTAGTTAAGAATGTTATTCAAATCTTCCGTGTTGTCTTCTTAATTTGTTCTATCAATTATTAAAAAGAGGATATTGATAAATCTGAATAGAACTGTGATTTTGACCATTAATCCTTTCATTTCTATTAAGTTTTTGCTTTATGTATTTAATAGCTACTTATTAGGTA